CCTCACTCTTTCCCTCTTCCCAACCCCTATTCTTTTGTTTTCGATCTTAAGTGAAACATAGTCATCACCTTAGTATTAGAAACTCAATATTTATCTATTTATGTCAATAACCATGACCTATCCAATGTGATTTACACGGTCAATATGTTTTTCACATTGTAGTCAAATTTGACTCGACTTGATCCACCTAAGACTTGTTTAACTCGAAACCCACATAACTTGAAATAATGTTCAGACAAAAATGTGCCTAAATTTATAACTTGTGGGTTAGTTTGAATTAGGTATTTTGGATCTGAGCTTCATGCCTAATCCTAATCCATACTATAAAGACTTGAGATTTTTAATGTCCCATATGATTGTTGATGCTTCTAATGCTTTGATAGTCAACAATTATCTAGTTTTAGATTTTTAAACCTGTTGCACAATAAATAAATAGATTAAACTCATCTCTAATTAATTTTTACTTATTTTATCATTTGTTTCTTATAAAAAGGAATAGAGATAATAGTAAAAACATCCTTTTTTATCTTATAATGACCATAATTTAAGATTTTTACATAAATTAAGACAAAAATAAATGTATTATTTTTTGATACAATTTTACTAAAATAATTTACCTTCTCATCAAATACATATTTTTAATTACAGTAATTGAATAATTTATAAAGCGTAAATTATAAAAAGTATTATTAATTACATTAAAATTTGTGAGATAAAAATGTGTAAGATTTACATAAATGTTACATTTTGTCATTAATATGCTGCTTTAAACGATATTGAATTGAACTGGTCTTAAAGTTGATGTTATTAAATGCTATGAAAGCATTAATTGATGTTATTAATATTTTCCTTGGTTTCATTTTGTTTGATATTAAAGGTTCTAGAATTTTTTTGAACCCATAAAAGAAAGGTTTTAGACTTCTAGTACAAATATTGAGAAATTCCATTAACATCTTGTATTTCATAGCAATTATTATATATTTTCTTAAAGGGAAAATAGATAATATACTGATAGTATAAAATTATTTATATTGTTTATATATTTTTTACTTATATATTATAAAAGTCAATCAACTTGTTATAAATAGTAATTTGTAATTGAATAAAAATATAAAATTATTTTATATTATAAATGCATCATTGTTAAACATATATATATATTATATTTCATATTAGTTAGATTCTCAACTATAATTCTTATATATTTTTCTCATTTCACAATAAATAATTAAGAATATAATGGAAAAATACATCTAAAAATTTTTACTCGTTAGTTTTCCAATTAAAGCATCTGTTTCAATCTCTTCTTTCAATATGCAAATCATTTAATTGAAAAACATTAGTTTAGTTGGATATATTTCAAATTGAAGCTGAGAAATTATGCGAACATTTTCATTAAATAATTTATTTAAGAGATAAAAGTGATTTTTTTAATTATATTTTGCTTTAATCATTTATTATATAAATATTATTTTCTCCCCTTTCAATTATGATAATTATAGAGTAAGTTTTCATAAGAATTTATGCACAAAACTTTCTTTACAAATTTGAAATTAAGAAGAATCCAACCATTTGGATAATTAGTTTTATTGGCTTGATGGAAAGGTTCTGTCTTTTTGAGAAAATCCTCGTGAAGTTAAAGTTAAAGTCATCCTGAACTAGCCTCATATTGTCATGAAGGGTCGCAAAATTAGTTGGCACAAACCACATGCTTACCAATCCAGAAAGATCTAAATTAGTGCAATTCATTTCCTATCTACTTGTTTTCAATTAAAAAGGACATTAAATAAAGTCATGAAAAGTACGAACACAAATTTAAGAAAATGTAACGAGTTGTTCTACATTAATTAATAATTTTGATTTTGAATATTGAGTATTTAAATTTATTAAATATTAAAAAAAATTATCATTCATAATAATTCTATATAATTTCAATATGACCGTCTCAAGAAAACAAAAAATAAAATTGTGATTTAGAAAAAGAATGAAGTAATAATGTAATAAGTTGCTTCTGAAACAAGATAAGGCTCTCAAGAAGTTTCAATATCTTCTTGCTTGTTATGTGGTGAAGAGTAATTTATCCACATCTTTTTCATCTACCAAAGTTGTCAAAGTTTCGTGTCTTGCACTTATAATTATTGTCTAAAATATTAAGTGTGAGAGCTAAGTCTTCCATGTTCATTTTATTAATTCCAATTTCCAAATCACAAGTTATCATCATTATTTTTTTCTTTCCCTTTGCTATCTGGTCCCTTGATAATTTCCTCCATGTTTTTCATTTTCCCTCAATTGTTTTTTTTTAAATTTATTTTTACCAGAAAAAAGAGCAACTCTGTAATCATTATGAAGCATAAATATTGACATAATATAATTTCTTTCTTAGCTCTTGAGTGTGTAGGAGTTTAATTTTATTTTTCTTTCAAATTTAAGGACATTCATTTAAACTCCTTAGCATTTTTTGTGCACGACCATCATAAGACAATGCATGTGAGGAGAGAGTTCAAGACAACCATTAAATGGCCGAAATTTTGGATCATAATCCATGGATGGGTTTCCTGATTTTCTCGTTAGTGTTTAGTAAATTAATTTACAAATTAGTAAAGAATTTATAAACTATAAGTTTCAATATGAAAAACTACAAAATTTATAAATTAATTAATTAAATTAAAAGTATTTAATAAAATTAATTAAATATTTTTTTAATAAATTTAAAATAACATAAAAAGTCATATTTAATTATTTGAGATAAAAAAAATATTTTAAATAAATCAATAAAAATAAAATAATAATTAGAAGAAAAAATGTTAATAACTTATAAGCTACTCAAAGTAACTAATAAAAACAAGTTAAATTACTAAAATCAACTCACACATGCATTAAACAAATTTATTTTAATCAAACTAATTTATAATGCTCTTTGAATGCATTATCAAACACACTGAAAATGAAATACAAAAAGAAAAGTATTAGTGTAGATTGAAATTACACAAACTTGATAAACTAGTTATCCATGGACAAATTAATACATAACATCTAACTTAAGGAAATTATTCAATATATACAGAGTGATAATATTCTTATTTTGATTTAATTTAGGAAATTTAAATTAGGTTTATTACTTTCTTAGTTTCTTGCAAGAAGCTACTATGATGTTAATTCAGAACAACTCATTGTGTGTTGATGTATTTTTAAGTTGCATTGGATTGAAGTAATTTATTAATAATTTGTTAACCTAATATAGTTTTTCGCAGGCTAATTCACCGTATCATTTTTATTTATTTAGAGAAATTACTTATATGTTCTTCCATATATTTACATACATGAGTTTAACCTGATTATATACTTAACTTACATGATTATCCGTCATATGATTATATATATAAAATAAAATAATCTGAATGAGTGTTCTTATGATTTTTTTTTTAATGAAAGAATTTTTTGAGAAGTTTTTTAAAAAAATAAAATTTTAAAGATTTTTAATTATCTTATCCTTTGAATTCATATTTTTCATCTATTTTTAAATTAAATTTTAATATTTTAGAAAACATCAATAATTAAAATAAGTTTAAATTATAATGTTTATCATAAATCCAAAATATAATGTATGCATTTAAAAATATTTTTTATTTTAAATTTAATTATAATATATTTATATATTTAAAATATGTATTTATTATAAAATTAATTATATTAAATAAATATTTATTATGTAAATCATACCAACTAAAATACTTGTGTGTATAGATAAATAAGTCATTAATGTGGGCTTATAAAATATGAGCTTAACTTATTTAAATTATCAAATCTGATTTTAAGAGTAATATATTTTTTTAATTAAACAAACAAATTTAATTGAAGAATCAACCAGTTGGGTTTTACAAATATCGCAACTCATTTGCATTTGACAAATCCCACGGCTCGTGGGTCAAATCCCTTCCATGTTATAGGCATATTCGCATATAGAGTTGATGTATTTTGTGTATTTATTAAAAATAAAATAAAAAATAAGATTAAAGAATAAAAATATGTTGATTTAATTAATGATTTCTTTTCCAGTTTTAAGATTTTGATTTTAAGTTTAAAATTTGTTAAAAATATTATTTTTTAATTTTAATAATAAAAAATTATAATATAAGAGCATAGATTAACAATAATATTAAAGCAAGTTTGATTTTTTTTTTCTTTAGAGACATGAGGAGGAAAAATAAAATTTTATAATCCATGGTAATGTTGTATTTTTGTTTTATAAAGTTTTAGAAATGTGATCTTTTTATTTTACGAGAAAATAAATAATCTCTTGATGATATAAAATATTTTATATTATTATGTAATTATGAATTATCATTTAAGGTAAGTCGTTAACTTTTGTAACATGTAAATAAAAAGTCATACTAATGATGGTATATGATTGATTGATAGTTAAAATTATTTTTTAATTATCAGTATATAACCTTAAATTTTATTTCATTTACTAACAAAATGTGACATAATTGATAAATAACTTTATCTCTTAAACATATGATTAGGAGGTTTGATCCTTTGTTAATGTGTATAAAAAATATTTTATTAAAAGAGGTCAACTTCTTAAATGATCTAAGTATTAGAGGATTAAATTTTAGCTATCAACTAAGAGATGTTTGACTTTAAAAAAAATTATTTCATTTATCAACTCAACGGACTGAAAACAAAAATCACAAGTAGATAAAATATTTATATTGATTATTTAGACAATTTAAGAATTAATTATCATATTATTATTTAAATAATCGATATTCTATAGCTTATAGAATTTTTTATCGTTTGAAGTAGAAATTTTTTTTAGGTTATAGACGTTTTCAGGCATTTTCTTGCTTTTATCATCTAAAAAAAAAATAGCATTATGCGTAAAATCAATAAATAATTTTATAAAAAAACTAAGCTGTACCTATACTCTTTGCCAAGTGCTTATGACTCATCCCCATAAAGAGAGCTTCCATTGATGCAATTATAACGGAACATGTTATATAATGTACAAAATCAATAACTTTCCTAATTTATTCATAGTCAACATCAAAGTTTTAAAATATGGAAAGATATTTTGGAAGGAAGTTAACATCAACACTTTGCATTATATTGGACCACTCATTGCCGCTCAACCATTACAATGACTTATTATCTTATTTTGCCGATCTAAAAGTTAGAGACGAATTTTAGTGGGTGAATTATAAAGTAACAGTGGGTAAAAATAATTCACTCAGATGAGATTATTTTAACTGCTTTAAATATAATTAATCATATATAATATGTAAAATATGAATGATTATCTTAGATGATGTAACATTGTCAATTTTATAACTCGTGTTGGTGAATTGGTAGACGTCGTTGAAAGTTCTGAGGCTAGGAGATTTAATGAGTAAGTTGATTACTGGATAGTTAGATAAAAGGAGTCAGCTCAAGAAGATATAAAAGAAAACTTATTCAAAGAGAGACTCATAAATCAAGTTTTCAAAAACTATAGAAAGAAGTTAGAGAAAGATTCTTTCATCCTTCTTCCTTCTTTCTCACCAATAATCTTTTCTTTTCTTCGTTTCTCAGTTGATTCGTAGTAATGATAGTGAAGAATCCAAGCTTCCGAGGTTGGAACTTTGAGCTAAAGTTGTGCGAAGTCATCTTTTTTCCCTTCTCCTCTTGCAATTTGATTCTCCAAGAGGTAATGGAAGCTTGTATTGATTTTATTTGAATTTCAAATTGTGGAATGGTTGTGATCTCATGTTTAGTGGTTGTTTGATTGTACTTAAGGTGGCTTGCGAAAATGGTGATTTTCTCTCAAAGTTGTTCATGAGTTGAAATATGATGATTCTTAGTTGTGTTGGATGCATGTTGCTTTTGATGGCATCAATATGTTGTATATGTTATATAGATAAGTATTGCATGTTGGAAAAGTACTTGATTTTCAAGTGGAATGGGCAAAATCATTTTATGCATGAGTGCAAAAACTAATATGGCACCGGGTATGCCTTCAGGACACTGGGTGTGAGTCTAAAGAGATGGCTCTGTCTCACTCACACCAAGTGTAAGATCGATGACGTTGAACATTGTGAGATTGAATGATGCTGGGTGTGAGTCAAGTAAAGAGCTCTCTACCTAGTTGGTGCCGAGTGAGGTGTTGTTATGCCAAGCATGAGAGAGTAAACTCTTTGCCTTAATCATGCACGCGAGTGGTGCGATACCAAGCATGGACAAGACTAAGTGCTCTTTGTCTTAATGGCGTCGAGCGTACATTGAGTGGTGTTGGGCAAAAGTTGTTTGATGAAAAACATGTTTAAGTTTTCCTACAATTAATGCACGAGGAATTAGTAGTATAAGTGATGTTGTAAGATGATACATATATATTGATACATTTCAAGTTGAACATGTTGTAAAGTTGTATGTTGTTTTAAGTTGCTTAAGCCAGTTGCAGTTGTTGATTTGTGAAAGTTGTTAATGATGCAAATATGTATGTTGTTTAAGTTGTTCAAAGTGATAAGTTGTATGTTAAAAGTTGATAAAGTTGTTAAGGTAATAGGCTATAGATATGTGGGTTAGATACATGTCTTAGTAACAATACGTAAAAACTAGAAGGGGGTAAGATGTTTTTAAAATTAGAATATCCCATTGTGTAGATATGTGTTGCAGTGCTCTGAGAGCCCGGTTGAAACGCTTTAGTAGGTAAGTTGGCCTCTGAATGGGTACGTTATTTTTCAATTGTCCCCTCTAGGTTTTATGTGATATCTAATTGTGGATAAGGTCGAGGCACACATGTATAAAGTGACAAACTAAGTAAAGTACCAGGTCAAAGACTTAATTACTAACCTAGTATTAGAAAGGCGTAGTACTTGGAGGGTAGTTGATGGACTAATCTCATAAGTGGCTTTGTGATGCAAACTAATGTCGTGGTAGGCTCATACTTTGTTGAAATAGGTCATGCGTTGTGGTTCGATAAAATCTAGCTACTTAAAATGCTCACCCTATATTACAAAAGATCTTCATAGCTGATATGCATGATGAAACATCATATGTAGTGATAATATGTGATAATATGTGTTGATGTGTTGAATGTACTATAGGTTGATTAGTTTGTTGCGCTAATAATGTTGTGTTGTTGTAAGTTGTTATATTTTTCTATAATGATGTTGTTTATGTCAAATTCTTTTCACAAGCTTACCCTATGTTTTCCTTGTGGTTGGAATTATAATGATTATGCTTGATATGAAAGTATGAAAGGATCGAGTAAGATGACTTGTATAGTTAGAGGATAGTCACTTTAGAGGTGACTAAGTTTTTGTTGATGACTACTACTATGTATTTGGATTTTGTATAAATGTCAACCAACACTTAGGTTTATTTTGACTTTATATTATATTTTGTATATAGCATACCTAATGTTAGTTACTTGTATTATAAACTCTCATTCTGGTGTACGTTGTTTAGTTTTCTGCTATGAAGTAATTAATCAGTAGTAAGTGTACTGACCTGCCCGATTGTGAATGTTTTTGTGGATTTTTTTATGAGATAATTTTTAGAAATTTTTTAATATTTAATTTATTTTTATTTATCATAATTTTTTATGAATTAAATTTAAATATTTTAAAATAAATATCAATAAATAAATAAAAATCTTGTACTAAAATATGAATTATTGATCATAAATCTAAAATATTATTTATATAAATTTTAAATATAATTTATATATTTAAGTATAATATTTATTTTTATATATATCTTATTTTTAATTTACTTATATATCATAAACATTTAACTTGTGTATTGCATAAATTAATATGTTCGTTAAAATAAATAAATGATCACAACATGTAATGTTAAATTTTAATCATTAATTTATTTTAATAATATATTAAACAGTTAAACATCTTACAAGTAAGGTTTTATTTTTATCATTTCACCTTATAATTCTTCATTAAACAGTTAAAATTACAAATGAGGTATTATTTTATTTTTATCCCTTCCCCTTATAATTCACCATTTACTAATAAATCAATATTTAAAAATCATTCTAGTTTGGGGTGTACACGCATGCGAGTATGTGTTGGCGAATTTATTAGGAACAAAATGAGGTAATATATTTTTTATCACTGTTTTATAATATATAGTTTTATCACTTATAAATATTATATTAGTAGGGATAAATCAAGGAGTGATCGAGTACTCTTTGGATCCTTATCAAAGACTACTTAGACGAATACTTTAAGGATACGATAAAATCATGTATCAAAAGGTAATTAGATGGTTAATGTGTTTAACATTCAAGATTAAGTCCAAAGTTTAGTATAAATAATAGCGTATTAAGATAAAAAGATATTTTTAAATCATATTTATTACAACTTAATTGCATTATTTTGATTGAGACGGATTGCGGGTACACTTTTTCCCCACTTTGAATAGGTGTGGCTGAATACTTCAATCTTATTAAGATAAATAAGACCTAAAATATTTACTCTCTTGGATATAGATAAGATCAAAAATAATAAAATGATATATTAAAGGGCCAAAGACTTGAAGAACAAAGACTAAAAACTTTAGGGAGAAAGATGAAATTATCATCGTACCCCCTATGTAGATAAAAATATAATATAGTGGACTGTGTGGTCAGTTATAATCATGATTCATGTAACTACAAGAAAAAAGAATAAAAATAATATAAAGAACGAACTAGATGGGTGTAGAGAGTAGAGAGCTAGAAGTAACGAGCTAGGAATAGTTTAACATTTTGAGCATGCAGACAAAAACACATTTTCGAATCTAAATATATAGGTAATAGCATGATGAAGACAATGTTCAGTTTACTCTTAGTTTTTCTCATACAAACTCAATTGTGTTCATGAAAATGACTTGTTTTCTAGTTGTCAATAAAGATATGCAACTAAAAGGAGATTGAATTAATGTCTTGTACGTCTTGCTATCTCCGCCTATGCTTCTCATAATATGCAATAAATACACTTTGTTTATAACTGCATGCTCTCTCCATTTTCTCTCCATCTTCCGAACAAGTAACTTATACTAATGGGTTTGTTCAAAAGTAAGGGTGTGGTTTACAGGCCCGTGAAAGATGTCAATTTAGGTGCTGATAGCACTGAATTCTATCTCCAAGCCAATGTCAAAGGTTCATAATCCATTGCCTTTTATTGCCATGTCTTGCTGCTTGATCTTTTTATCTTGATTTTTGTATGACATGAAATGATGAAAGTGTTTCCATTTCTTGGAATGGGTTTTTCTTTCATATAGTTTGTTATTGTGATATTTAAAACTCTGCGTGTAAGCTGACAATGAAATATTTCCGGGTTTTGAATTGGTTTATCTAGTTTAGAATTTAATACTTGTGTCAGAATCTTTGCTTGTTATTAAGTCTTGATAAATCTTAAAAGTTGGTAATCGTCATTATTTCAATCATTATAGCTCCCCGTATGACTGGAATCTTGGTCAAGATTTTCACTTGGTTCTTGGAGTCTCCAGTATTTGGAGCCTTGCTATTGTATATATTGAAGGGAAACAATCTTATTCATAAGGTATGCCCTTGGTCCATGGTCAATTCATTCCATTTTCATGAAATCTTGTTCCAATCGAAGCAGAATTTCATCCTCTGTCTACTAGTAACACTTAAATAGCAATATTCTTTTCCCAATTCTTTTTTTTTTTTTTTGCAGCTTATTACAAATGCAGAGTTAGAAGAGTCACCCCTCTTTGTTCCCTCACATAATTTTGAAGGTTTGTTATTTTCCAGGTTCTTTCCACCCGATAATGTACAAAAGTGAGAGATTAGCTGCATGATGGTGTGAACATGGATATTATTTTGATTGCAGACTTGCAGTTATCATAAATCACATTGTGCACTTTTTGTCTTAGACGTGTATTCATCTCAAATTACAAAATTTTCTCATGATATTCTTAAATAGAAAGGGGATATCTCTGATTTCAGTTTATTCTAGCAGACCACAAAGAACAAGAAGTCAAATGCTTAGATTCTGCTTTAACTCCACAAGAGCAAGTTCAACTTGCAATAGAATGCTTACCTACATCTTCAGAAAAAGCACATAATGAAACAGTGCCTTCGTTCTGTCGCTGGACCGTAATGGACTATTCTAGAGCCTACAACTCGGGAGATATAACACCACTCATGGTATTTCATCACCAAGATGCTAATATTCTTTTAACGTGTCCTCGTTCTATCATTACTGCGTTAACTCATCAACATAATATTGCACAAAGTTTATTGTTCAAAATTTTACATTGAATAAATATGCTTATGCAAGGTTATTTTGATCTTAGTAATCTGAGAGAGGATTGCTGCCACATGCCCTTCATATTTGTAGTTGCTCTTAATTCTTGTGTACTTTTGCATTCACTATCTTTCTTATTTTATTTACAAAGGTTGCAGAACGATTTATAGCTGCTGTTCAAGAATCTTCAAAACCTGCACTCCAAATGGGATTCTTTATTAACTACAATGCTGACGATATACTTAAACAAGCGAATGAATCAACTCTTCGGTATCAGAAAGGTACTTTATAACAATTTCAAGTGTCAATCAAGATGGTAGCAATTATCTTTAAAACCCGTTGATCTCTACCTGATGCAATCTGATATTGTTATAAAAAGTTGAAATTCTTAAATCTGAATATGGTTTTCATGTGCTATATTAAATCAGAAGTTAGACGTATGCAACTTACCTTTTTTCGACTCAAAGTTCTGACTTATATATTGATGTGTGTTCAACCCTCTTCAGATACTAATTTGGTGCATGTTGTTTTTGCAGGGTCACCTATCTCTGTGCTAGATGGAGTTCCTGTTGCTATCAAGGATGAAATAGATTGTTCGCCATATCCAACTACAGGTAATGGAGTGTGTTGTGTATTTAAAATTTCAGATGTGCTAGCAGGAATTTTCACTTGACTATCTAAAAATTGAGTTCTCTAGGAGGTACAAAGTGGTTGCACAAAGAAAGACCTTGTATAGATGATGCTTACTGTGTCAAAAGACTAAGATTATGTGGTGCCATACTTGTTGGGAAGACTAATATGCATGAACTTGGGGCTGGAACTAGTGGTATCAATCCACATTATGGGTAAGAAACCATTAGTTATATACAATACAACTTGGATATTATTCACATTATGTTACATCATTTGTGACTTCTGATGTATACATTAATGAATTTGCACTAAATTAGTTTGTATGTGTGTTTATTTACTTCCGTAGGCCCGCTAGAAACCCGTATGATACCAATAAGATTGCAGGAGGTTCTTCTAGTGGATCTGCTGCTGTGGTGTCTGCAGGGTTGTGCCCTGTTGCCCTTGGTGTTGACGGGGGAGGTATTTTATTAATATTATGAAAAATCAAAGGAATCATTATTCACTATTGCTTATATGCATTTCACATATTTATGTTTTAGCCAAAGTGACTTGAATTTACCAGATAAATCCATATCAGTAGGTATATAAAATTTTAGTCTACAATCTACTTATAGTTATAGACAAGACAGCAAAGGCTGGCGAATTAATATTTTAATTAGCATACTTGTTCAGGTTCTGTGAGGATGCCTGCATCTCTTTGTGGTGTAGTTGGTCTAAAACCAACTTTTGGTCGTGTACCTCATGCTGGGTGGGTATGCAAATTTGTTTTGTCATGTTTAAATAATATGAGAGAAATCTAATGATTTGAAAGAATGATCTTGCACTACATTCAGAGTCCTTCCTATGAACTGGACAGTTGGAATGATTGGAATACTAGCAGGAACTGTTGAGGATGCATTGATCACGTTAGTAATCCTTTTTATGATTTTTTTTTTCTGCTAGGAAACTTAAGATTCGTATTACATCTTCTAATGTTTCATTTTTGCAGTTATGCAGCTATTAGTGGAGAAATTCCATCCCATCAGCCCTCTAGTATAGTTGTAAGAACTTGATTTTTCCTTAAATTCCAAATGATTTTGATCACTTTTCAAACGAGTCCTCTCTATGTTTCAAATTTTGACGTTGCTAATGAAGTTCAACAAACTGGCCTGAATTTGACCTGCTACTAATCAAATTGAACTTCTCAAAATATTTTGTGCAATGCCTTAGACTAAGATAAATCTTCCACTGCTGCGCTTGACAAAGTCCATATGTGACATCAAGTTGGCAAAATATGGGAAGGTCAGAAACATGTTTCCTTGTCTTGAATATAGATTATTCATTCCCATATAGTGAAAAATTATGTTGTTATAACATCATGTGCTCCCGCTAACCACTAATTCCATCAATTAGTGGTTTGATGATTGCAGTGATGATGTCAGATTATGCTGCTCCCTTGCTTTGAGCATGCTTCAGGATCATTACGGTTGGAAGGTAATGTGGAATTTAACCCAAATAAAGAAAAAGTTTTAAATGCTGACTTTGTTATTATGCTTAACAAATTTTAGGAATTTAGCTCCTATTCATTTTCTTCTTGTTCAACATTTCTCTCAATTCCACACTCTATTCTGTGCCTTTAACCACCTTACCTCTGTTGTCTCAGCAACCTTGTTTAGTTGCATACGTGCAATTTTAAAAGCTAAATGCAGTTTTTATAAATAGAAATCAAACACATCCTTAACTGACCTTTCAACCTTATTTTAAACATACAAGACGATAGATGTGACTATACCAGACATAGAAGCAATGCGACTGGCACATTACATAACAATTGGATCAGAGTGTTCCACTTGGGTTGATTCTTTTGGAGACAAGTATGTCATCCTAAACCCTTCACTTTTTTCATTATTTCCCTCAAATTGAGGCGGGTATGATTGCAGACATTACTGAATTATTAGTTTATTACCAAAGACATTTTGCAGAATCAGGATGGGACGCAAGGGTAGCACTTAATATCTATGGTGCTTTCAGTAGCAAGGAGTACATTAAAGCTCAGAAAATGAGGTAAGTTATGACTTATGACATGGCTTTCTTTATAAGTTATATGAAAAACTAGGCTGAGAAATTCAGTTAATGAAAGTTTAAGTTTAAGCTCAATAAAATGAAACCACATTAATAGAAAGCATAGACAACATTTTGTCATATGTATTCCTCTCTGTACTAAATATTGTTTATGTAATCTAATTGTTGTCTCTGGTCACAATTCCTAATATTTGTAGAATTTTAAGGTGATGCATGGTTGTTAATTAATGGTCAGGAACCGCCAGTTGCAGTTTCACAAGAAAATATTTGCTGAGGCAGATGTCATTGTGTCACCAACAACAGGGTTTGTCCTGTTTTCTCATAATGTCTTTCTTTTGGACGAGTCACATTTTTTTCTTAGGTAACACATTGCCTAGTATTTGTAACAGTGTGACTGCATACTCAATTCAAGATGATGCACTAAAGACTGGTGAACTTGACTATGTAAATGGAGGTATAAATTAAATTCATATTTGTAGAGACACTTAGTTGTTGATAGCATAAATACCAAAAGGACTGCACTACAGTAATTAATATGTTCCATTTGCCACAATTTCAGCTGCACTTGTTCGGTATTCCATATCAGGAAACTTCCTTGGACTTCCTGCTGTGACTGTTGCGGTATGATTATGTTCTCCTATTATATAGTTACTCCATTAATGTTAGTTACACTTACACCCCAATTTTTAGGTTGTGTTTGGTCTACTAATTAAATGCTACTACTACATTATTTTTCAAGAGGTAAGATTCAGTGATAGCTTTATCATCCTTTCATCACAGGTTGGATACGATAAATTGGGTTTGCCTATTGGGCTTCAGTTTATAGGAAGACCTTGGGCCGAAGCAACACTGATCCACTTGGCATTTGCAATGCAGGTAATTAAATTTCCTTGTTTTCTTTTAGCCATAGGAATCAGACTTGGTAGCAGAAGTATTAAATTTCCTTGTTTATTGTTTATGACTCATAAACAAGGAAATTTAATACCTCTTCTTAGAGAAGTCAAATGGATATAACGTTGAGCCAAATAGGTCTAATACCTTTTAGACCTATTTTTTACCGGCCCATTAACCTGTCTGGACTGAGACAAATTAGTTCACTCTATTTTGAAAAGAAAAGAAAATCTGACCAGACGAAGCAAGGAGTGAATCTGATGGGCCGGATGGGACCAATTTTAAAAGCTGCGTTTTGTATTATGACTGAAAGTGGAGCCACTATTACATAAATATATGGCATGTGTGACAAATGATTTTTCTTCTGACCCGAGTAGTGGTCCAAATTTAAGTACTAACATGATGGTGGTGTTATGATATCAGGCCATCTGCTTGTCAGAATACAGAAAGCCAAAGATTTATTATGATCTGCTAAGAAAAGATTGAATGGAGTTAGGCATCCTGTAGCAGTGGCATGTCTTTTCCAGCAAAAGCAGAGAGCCATGTTATCTTTGATTAATAGTTTTAATTAACACAGTTCATCCACATGATGGAAAGTTTCGGTTTTTTGGCATGTCATCAAAATCTTAGTCCCCTAGTAGGGGTGGCTAGATATAAATCACTGGATTAATAAAATCTAGACACAGAATTATTATTTTTGTCCCAATCCAACTGTGTCTAACCTATTGACCAGTGCTGGGCCAGGTCAACCTATTGAAATTAAATTTGAAGAAAAAAAAATTTATGTATAATTATGGTTGATGAGGAAGAATAATAAGAATGAAGATGATAAGCTACAATGTTTTATGTAACAAGATCCTATGATAATGCGCAACATCATTTGCTTTTATGTTCTTATATGTAACACGATGAATTATTATACTATGATTTAATTTTTATGTATAAATATTTATTGTCATAAAATATTTCAATAACGTGGACATTAAATAAAGCCTTATCTCATCGCCACATCATATTAATAAATAGGATGGTGTGTTAAAAGAATCAAATTGTGTCAAGTGTTTTATACAAATAGTGTATATAATTAACACTAATGTTATTTTGTAATAAGCTTATAAATTCTTTTTATTATATTGATCTTTTTTTTTTAAGAACTTCATCAAATGATAAGTGGTGGATGTATTATATATTAATATTAATTTAAAGTATCACAGTATTGTTAATTTACACTGTTATCATTAGACATTATTAGAATAATTTAATGTGACAGGAAAATTATTATGCTTCATAAATATTTTATATATAACAAAATTTATATTATGTCATTTATGTTATTAGAAAAAATAAGAAGTAATTTAAATATAAAAAATAGGATTCCTCGACTGTTTTACCCGCAATCCATAATGAAATAAGATGAATTATATACTTTATAGTTATATATCGTGGATTAACACTAATTATTTTTCTAAACAAAAAACGAACAAATTGTTAATAGGGATGATATATATATATATATATATA